TGTTTCTTTTGCACTTCTTCGACTTGTGTGTTTTTGTGCCCGAGTCATAGTGCTAGGAGCTTTATCTTTGTTTAAGTGTCATTCATTATTCTTTAATAAATTACCACTTACCGACTTATCTTAAATATTTATAAGAATATGAAAATTTAGGATTTTAATATGTATATAGGGTGTAAAATGTATTGATAGTGAAAAATTAATTAAATATAAATTTTTTTATTTAATATAAGGGTAAACTTATGATTTAGAAAAAAAAATTAAGGCGGAGGTGTGTTTAGTTTGATGATGGGGTACCAATAGAATCACTCTTTTATGGCTCAAATGAGGAAATAAAGTAAAAATAGTGTTATGTCATTATGAATTGCACGGGCCTTAGCTGAGCCCAATAGTCTTATTATGAGCCTGAACATAGAAATTGAAATGGCCCATTCAAAGCCCAACAAGGCTTGGAGTTAATAAATAAAAAAAACAGTTGCAGCAGACGAGTGGGAAAGAAAAAGAGAGTGAAGGTTTTTCATCTCGGCACAGCTCCATAAAAGCTGTGATTCTGCTTTGTCTGTAATTGGATCGAGTTCAAATTTGAAAGAGAGACTCGTGAGACAAAGAGTTACAATCTGAACGGTGAAGATCAAATTTGTGAGTTCTGGAATTAGTGTTTTGCTCCCGTTAACAGTAACTACGGGGTTTTGGTAAGATCTTTCCAACCTGATCATGTTTCCACTATGATGATAATGATCTTATTATGATTGTATTTCAAGATTTGGTTGTTCTTAATGTTTGTGTTTGCTAGATATATTGAGTATGCTAAAAAGAATCATTATAAGAAATTATTTGGTTGATAGTGGAGTTTTTTAGTGGATTTCGATTCCATGGTTTTTTCCTTTGTATTGAAAAGTTTTCCACGTAAATTCTTATGTTTTTATGTGATTGTTTGATGCTGAATTTTCACTATATTAGTGTAATTATTCTCTAGTCAATAGTTCACAAAACTGAATCCTTAGTTTGACATAACAGTGGTATCAAAGTCTGATTGGTGGTTTTGTGTGTGTAGAGATGGATGTTAACACCAGTAAAATGATCAATTTGGATAGGGTAAACTATCACACATGGAAAGGTAAAATGGAAGATCTCTTTTATTGTAAGAACTATCACACTCCTATTTTAGGTGATTCAGCTAAGCTGAAAACATGAAGGATGATGAATGGGTTTTGTTGAATAGGCAAGTATGTGGGTACATACGGACATGGGTGGATGATAATGTCCGCAATCTCATTAGGAATAAAATAAATGCTTATGTGTTGTGGAATAAGTGTTGGTAGGAATGCATGGAGAGAGAAGCATTTGATGCATGTAAGACTATAAAATATATATTAGTATTTTACAATAATTCTTACTAGATGTATCCAGCAAACATAAACATCAAGAATAACCAAATCATGAAATATAATCACAATAAGATTATTATCATGACCAACAAAGAGATGTTGGGAAGATCTCACCAAAACTCGTAGTTACTGTTCACAGAAGTAAAACACCAGTTTCGGAACTCATAAATCTGATCTTCACCGTTAGATTGTACCTCATTGTATCATGAGTCTCTCTTCCAAATTTGAGCTCGATCCAACCACAAACGAAGTGAGATCGTAGCTTTGCTGGAAACTGTGCACAGATGAAAAATCTTCACTCTTTTTTTCTTTTCTAGCTCGTCTGCTGCAACCATGGATGTGTTGAAGCTGTAGTTGTTTTTTATGGCAGGCTATTCGTCGTAACTAGCCTTTGGCAGATTGGGAAATTCAACTTGAGATCCGGTAATTCGGTGTTTTCAACACTTACATACGAACCTCATTACTTGACCGGAAAAATCAGGTTGGTGGCTTCCAAGGAGCAGCTTTTTGTAGTGAACTTGACTGCCACTGAGTTCAATGTTTACAGGATAGACTTTTCGAGGAGTGAATGGGTTAAGGTGGAGAACTCGGGAGATGAAACTTTCTTTATTGATAACATGAGCTGCAGATTAAGCAATACAAGTAAATGGGGAGGAACCCATAAGTAGTTGGTATTTTCTAGATCATTTATGCAGCATAGAGTCCATAGACAATGTCAGGGATGATGATTAGTTTGGTTTTTCATTATCAGTTATCATTTAAATTCTGCAAAATGTAATTCCAGATGTTGCTTGGAAACTCTCTACCTAAGAATCAGTAAAGATATTATAGGACAGATGAATAAGGTTCAATTCATTTGTAATTAAACTCAGTTTCCAATTCTCTGCAATATTCAACAGTTTTTCTACACAAAAGAAGAGATCAAACCTCATATTTTCTCCAAAAGTTGTAAATTTTTCCGTAATATTAAGAGTAATGCTATGCTTACTACTAACCATCTTACTATCTTTTGTTAAAATTACATATGGTATTCGTACTATGCGTATGGTACCCGTACTATGCTTTATATTTACACAGGATAATAAGATGGTTAGTAAGATCGTGAGTAAGCATAGTATTATTGTAATATTAATCTACACATGAAGTAATTGTAAGATAATTTCCGAAATTATAATCACAATTCAATTATGAACAATAATCAATCAATCAATTTCAGAATCCCAAGATTAGTTACAGGTTATAAAATACTGAAATTAACAATCAAGGATTATAGACAAACCTCTATGTGCCATGATTGCCGATTCTTGAAATCCTAATAGAAGCGATAGAGAGCAACAAGCCTTTCTTTCCAATAATGTTTTTTTTCGATAATGCATTATGTATGACGACTTACAAATGGGTTTAACTTACAAATGTACTAAGTTGTTCTCATGCGTTTGGGAGGGAGACCTAGCCAATTTTAATATTGGTTTATTGAGTCCTCCTATTAAAGGTCAAATAAACCTTGAAACCCATTTCAGGCGCAAACTCATACTAGTCGTCAACCCAAATTATTATAATGAAGTGTATTAATTAGACAATCCTAAAACAATCACATAAAACCCAAGAGGATATCTCATTTGGACTACACGTTTACCCAATTTTTTATTAAAACAAAATTATAATTAATGTTATCTTACAATCAGGCAGATTTTTCTAACAATAATATCGTTCATTTCACAATCAGAAATTTTAACAAGCATACAAAATACTGAAGCAATCTTATTGAAAATTTATCAGCCTCAATTCAACTTAATATTTGGGCTTGGCATAAGTAATAGACATGGGCTTCATGAGTGAATTTGGTTAAATTTATACTTCTATGAGTTTAGGGATATAAGCCGTCTAGAAACTTATAAATGTGTAGATTTAGGTTTAGGGTATATTATTTTCTGCCTCACCGTAGATTCCATTACTGATTGATGAATAACTCGCCATGGATTCAGGTGTGTTTTATTGTTCTGTAAATCAATTATCTGTGTCTATAATATCACATGGTTTGTAAATACTATGCTTGTTGCAGGCAAAGTGTTGAGAAAATCTAAAGGGAATAGAAGAAGAAGAGCGAAAACAAAATCCTATCCCATTTGAAATCATGGACTGATCTTCCGAATGAACTTGAAATAATTAGCTTTACTAATCTGGGTGTAGCAGATTATATAAGGTTTGGCAAAGTTTGCAGAAGTTGGGGATTATTTTATTCAGAAACCAAGCTAGGGTTTATGGTATCACAATCGCCTCTCGTTATTTACCTATCAACTCATGCTCAGAAGTGTTGTTATTCCTACCAGATAACTAATCCAACCAGATATAAAACTAAGCTGCCAAATTTGGGTCTAGACTTCTTTATTAGTATTTCCAGTGGGTACTTGATCATGAAAGAGCGTTCCACTGGACATTTTCGGGTTGTAAATCCTATTACAGAACAGCAACTCCAGTTTTCCACCATGCCCCAACATAATGGTACTCCTCAACGCGTCATCTTCGCTTCAATTGGGTCCAGTTTAGATTATATTCTTGTGATAGTCTACAAAAACTCTAGGCAGTTTTATGTGTTTAGAGATAGCAAGGGGATACAATTATACAAATACAATACTCCATTCATGTTTTGAGGATTTTTGGGATCTAGTTGTCTTTTAAGGCAGGATATTTGTTCTAGCTAGCAAATATAGCTACCTTCAGATTTGGAAATTCAACTGGAGATCTGTTCATTTGGTGCATTTTCTACTCAGCAGTATAGTTGGTGACTCAACCAAGAACATTAGGTTCGTGGCTTGGAATGAGAATCTTTTGGTAGTTAAATATACTCACCCAAGTCATCCACAACTTTATAGTATAGACTTTTCGCTTAAGAAATGTATTAGAGTGTACAACTTGGGTGACGAAGCTCTGTTCATTGACCACAAGAGCATCAGGTTAAGGTATTCAGCAAAATGGGGAGGAAGAAGTAACTAAACCTATTACCTCCCTTTCAATTCAAAGACATATTACGTATACGGTATACTCCTTAAATGGCAGACTGCTCGAAGCTAACCAAATTGTGAGATGCCATGTCCCCACACAAATAAACATTTGGTACTTTCCAGACCCAACTATACAGCATAGACAAAGTCAGGGATGATGTTTAGTTGATTTGTTTTCTGAATAGCAAAATTAACTCTACAATTATGCCATGGATTGTTGATTACTAGATATCATTACATTTACAACATGTAATTCTAGATCTCTCAATGGAAACAATTCAATAAAGAGATCCTAATAAGACTGAAATCTCATTTGAAACTAAACTAAGTTTCTTATTCTCTATGATATTCACATCAAACCAGTTACTTACTTCACGCTAAATCCAATGTTCCATCAGGTTCTTCATTAATACATGTTATCACAATTAGAAGCAAAATTTTCAAAATGCAAATCTCACAAACCAAGAACACAAGAATTAAGCCTGTAGCAGATAATCTGAACAAGCCAAGTATAGTTTTGTCTTTTTGATCTCCAAACATCATAAAATGTATCAAAATGCTAACCACATCTGATTCAAAAGCTTAAACATACAATATTTTGCAGTAATGAGGATTTCTCAGCATCAATGAGAGTTGATTGATTTGACTTCATGTTTAGAACAAGGATAGAACAGAGATTTTCATCAGATTTCAAATCGATTTACATGTTTTTCCAGATCTTAAAACCTAAACCCTGAAAAACAACACAGATCCAGATATTCAACTTATAATACTTCTCTAGGCTCTCTCACCTCTAATCCTCCTAGCAAGTTGAATATCTTTAGGCATGATAGTGACTCTCTTGGCGTGAATTGCGCAAAGATTTGTGTCCTCAAAAAGACCGACGAGATAAGCCTCAGCAGCTTCTTGAAGAGCCGCGACGGCGCTGCTCTGGAACCTCAAATCGGTCTTAAAATCCTGTGCGATTTCTCTCACCAGCCTTTGAAATGGAAGCTTCCTGATCAAGAGCTCAGTGCTCTTCTGGTACTTCCTGATCTCTCTTAAGGCCACAGTTCCTGGCCTGAAACGATGAGGTTTCTTCACTCCTCCGGTCGCCGGAGCTGACTTCCTAGCAGCCTTGGTGGCCAACTGCTTTCGCGGCGCCTTGCCTCCGGTGGACTTCCTTGCTGTTTGCTTTGTACGAGCCATTTCTTATATCAAGGATTGAAAGAGTGCGTTAGTGTTTGTCTCTCAAGAAAAATAGAGAAGGCTTGAAGTAATTGTATGAGAGGGGAAAGGAATTGGGGTTATTTATAGGGAAAGATGTGGAGCTTTGTGTTTGTTTTGATAGCTCAAGAGCGAGTTTGGACCGTGGATGTTTTTGTAAGCTACGGTTGAGAATCATTAAGAAAACAACGACGCGGATCGTGATCCGCGGGGTATGTAAAGTGACGAGAGGATTGGTTTATTTAGGCGGGAGTTTCTAGTTAGTGAAAATTTCAAAATGTTTTAGAGAAAGTGAATCGCGACCTTTGAATTGTCAGTATTCGACGGCTAAAATTCTCTATTGGAGTTTGTGACACGGATTGTGATCCGCATCAATATGAATGAGCCAATAGCGTGTTTTCTTTTTTTAAAGATGATAAATCTCTTACTTTTATTTATCATAAAAAATTGAAATGTAATGGATAAATATTAAATTCAATCTAAAATAATTAAATAATGGAAAAATAAAATTGGGTTTATATCTAAAAATTTTAGGCAATAATTTTTTTAATAATATTCTTCATCAAATGTATCAAAGCATTTCAAAAAATTTCACTTCATTATTTAAGCAGAATTTGTTAAAAAAACTAATTTAAATTTATTTCCTCTATAAAAATTTATAACCCACAAAATAGATTATTAATTTTTTTTTTTTTTTTTTGTAATACTCTTTGTAGATGATATTATATGGAAAATCATATATTTGCAAAAATGAAGAAATTTTTTAAAACTTTTCTTGAATAGATAATGAAAGATTGTGTCTCAAAATATGAAAAAAAAAAAAAATTAAACTAAACTAAGAAAATGCAAAACGTAAATTTTAAGAGTCAATAGAACTTTATAGTTGTAATGGATCAAGTTTATTAATTATGGGTATTCATGTCATTATGCAAGGCCCAAAATCTAACAACTATAGCCATGAGCATTGTTCTTGGTCAAATCGTATTGCAAATTACAACTGAATTGGTTTAGGTCCCTTGGGATTTTATAGGCAATGATACCATCTTATAGCCATGCTTAATTTCCTTACTATCTTTATAATAAAAGGAAAAGCTATGGTATTAACAAGTTAATATTAATATAAACTCTATTAATCAGCATCGAATGTCCCAAATGCTTGTCAACTATCCAAAATTTTATTCTAAAAGATCTGTTAGGGACAATTGTTGTACATCTTCGTACCAAGTGACACGAAGGAATATAATATATCTTATTTAATTTTTTTGTATCAAATGACATAAGATGTGTAACCACTATTGAAAACGTTATTGTCGCTAACAGACCTAATTAGCCTAAAAGGTGATACTACATATTAACCCTTATAAATTCTAAACCCGCCAGTTGGATTACAATACAACAAATTATCTTTCTTAAAGTTTCATCTATAATTTATGTTCTATATCAGTATTACAAGGATTTTAATAATACCAAACAAAAAATAATAGTTTAAACTATACTCTTTATATTACTAAAAACGCTCTTTATCTACTCCACCAAATAACTATATGCTATTTAATTTAGACTTTGATTAAGAAGTGCAAAGACAAAATGTTGGCAAGTTCTTCGCTTCCTACCAACAAATATTTAATGCTAGTATTCGAGACAAGCAAATGTAGACAGATTTTAGTCACGGTATAAAATTTCGCTGCAAATTCTCACATGGGAGTGTTCAATTTGTATGGCAAGTGATGGGGGCAAAATTTGTCTAACTGCTCTCTATTAAATGAATGTAAGTGTCACTTCTCATTACCTAGAGATCAAAAGTATATGCAATTTTATATTAATAGTTGAATTACATAGAAATTGTTTGTTTTGAATCTTACTCACGAGGATCTATATTTGGGGTTCACGCTAAGATTCTTTATTGAAAAAGTATTTAGTTAAAACTTAAAACGATCCAAAACTTATAAACAAATGCATATTTTATTTGTTAACGATGTACAATGTAACATTATCAAATCTACATTTACCTAAAAGATAAGTACGGTCATCTAAGCCAAATTCATGAAAATTAATGTTTTTAATTGGGAATATCTACTATTATTGGTAGAAAATTTTGATACTGATAATCTTATACCGAATTTTAATTTTAGTTTTGAAAGTAAAATTTGATATACTCATTGATATTAACTGTATGACTCTGAGTTCAACTAAATAAATATTGTTTGTTTTGATCTTGTAAACTTCCTAGAATTTGAGTAATGAACTATCATGCTTTCTGGGAGAGAAAATGATATCGAGAATTGTGTAATATATTGATTAGCAAACTTTCCTCTTAACTTGCCTAAATGAATTTCTTCTTGGGCCTGCGCCCAATTTGTTCAGCCCGAATTCTATAAGCTTAACTCACACGAAAGTGCATTCTGGGTTTCCCGTAATTATTTTACATCGAAAATGCATCTACTAATATTATGAAATCTTGATAATTACTGTTAGGCAAAGCAAGAGAAACAGTGAGCATGTTTTGTCATTCCATTATGAATTTTGGCAACATTCTTCTAGGGCTCAATGAAGAAGCAATTAATTAATAAATTTAAAAACCTAATTTCTGTCTCTTGAGGAAACCAAAAATTGCATGCATATATGCATGGGGGGGTAGTCAAAGGTGGAAAAGAATGTCTCTATTTTCGTGATATAGAAACACAATGACCTGATTTTATGGCAATCAGAAGAGGCTATACTACTTCCCTTGGAAATTTCGTAAATCATGATGCTTAATTGGAGTAGATGAGCATGGGTATAAAATCTAATTGGTCTTTAGTATTTTACTTCTCGTTTTGAGCATGTATAAATGGAGCATCCTTCGAGAATTAGTGAACAATTTTATGTTTTATTATTATTATATAGTGGGCATATTCGTTTTATCTAATGGTACATACAAGGTTTTCCTTCACGATACTTTTTCACTTAAAAAATTTCAAAATATCACTCTTTTAGAGGTGAGTGGTTTCGGATACACTGTATTTTTCAGAAAAAACCAGAACTGGAACCACATAATACAAGTTCCTTACCCAGTTATCCTATAAAAAAATCAATTACCCCTCAATTAGTTTAAAAAATGATAAAAATACCTTAAAAGTTTACAAATACTCCCCTACCAAATTAAAAAAACCTACATTTAGTAATTTTTAACTTTTGATTATTCATTCATTTGTGTCCAATGTGACTCATAAACCTACATTTATATTTCGTTTACTATTTAGAATACATTTTCCGATTCGACAACCAATGCAGAGAAAACTTGGTCAAAGCTGTCGGGACTTTCGAAGAAGAGATATCAATGAGTCTTTTGGTGGTGGTAGGTTGGATTTTGATGGTTGAGATTGGTCAGAATCTAACTTGGGAGGGGCAGTTGCGAGTTAAGCAAATCGCTCGATTTTTGACAATTGACGGGAGCAAGGTTTGAGGGGTTTTTGCGAGTGATAATCACAAAAAAGAATGGTGGTGGCATGGGGTCGAAAAGATGTCGAAATCGTCTAGTGATTGGTCAAAATATAAACTTTGGGTGGGAAAGTTCATTAAGGCAAACCTTGGGTGTGAAAATGTAGTTTACTCTATATTTAATATAAGCATTATCAAGAGCTATATTAATTAACTAAATAACAATTAAAACAGGTACATCTCATTTAATAATGCATAATCTTACTAAGAGGTAGGGACTTATAATTAAGGAGGTTGGCTAAAGTCAAATAGAAAGAAATTTAACTGAATAATTACCCATAAATGAGATTAATTTATGACTCACAGGAGTAAATACTATTTTTTGTAAAAAACTATTAATCTTTGAATTAGTCCAAACCCCATCTCTTATAATTTAGGTTTAAACACAAGCATTTTTGTATTATTTAAATGTCCTTTATACAAGAAATGGTCAAGAACTATCACAAACATTATTTCATTTCAAACTTCCATAGTTGTATGTAGGACAATATATATGACAAGATATGTGAGATTGGTTAAGGTTAAAGATAAAATGATGAAGAAAGTTTCCTAATTAGTGTAGAAATAAACTAATTACCAAAGTTAAGATAATTAATTATTTTTGTCAAGAGATTAATGCTGTAGTTAACTTAAAAGCATATTATAATTGGAATCCTCTTTTTCAAAGATCAAACAATCAAAAGAGGACAAAATCAAAACATAATACGAGGAAAGCCAGCAAGAGTATCTCTAGCTTTCTACTTGTACTTTCAAAACAATACTTAAATGACACTATGTTATTACCTAAAAGTAATAGCTCTGGTGGGTTGTGGTCATATTCTGAAAGTTTCTTATTCTTATATATATATATATTTGCGTATATTAAAGTATTATATTCTATTAATACCAAAAACCCATTTAAAGCATCAAAAACCCTTTACAAGAATATTTAATTTTCAATAATAGGAGTATTTTAGGTCAATTGGGCTCATGAGAGTTAGATTAATAGTATTTTGAAAATTTACAGAGATCTTATCGAGAAAATTAAACCTCAAGACGATGGAATAATAACCATTTCCTAAGGGGTTTGGGTTATATTTGTCCTCCACTATAAATCTATAAACAAAAAAAAAAAAAAAAAATCCAATTTTATTATTTTGTATTTTTATTAGTATGAATAATAATTATTACAAAAGAGAAGAGAAGCAAGCAAACATGCTTGGTGGTGTATATTTATACTTGGACTCTGATAGCCGTTTCTTTGAGACCGAAAAAGGGCATCTGTCTGTTGTTTCTTTCAGGCAAAGCTGTAAATGAAAATGAAAGGTAAGAGGGGACTCACTATATCTCACAAACATAAAGCAACCACCAGTAAATATAAATATTCTCTTTTATATAAAGTGGAAATCTTCACCAAATTAACCAAAAGTTGGAGATGAAGCTTTTAACTTTTATGGAAGCTCTTCTTCAGTACACAATAATAATAAATAAGTATGATGCATGTGCTACCCATTGGTCCCTTGTGCTCATTAGGGACCCCTTTTGGGAGATCTATTATCATTGCTTTACATGGAAGCCATTACTCCTTAAGAAGATAATAGCCATGGTG